ACTTGAATTGCAGACGGTATATTACATTCCTCCTCAAACATATTTTTACTCCACCCAACTTACAAGTCAGACACGGTCCCATTGGGCGTCCTCTTCTCTTTGTCTTTCTGATGTTGGGCTCCTTAATGCAGCTGGGCGGACTTTGTGCTGAATGACTGAGCTGACGTTTGAGGCTACCCGCATGCTCGTAAGCCACCCGGACTGGTAACTTGTGCTTCCGGATAGCTTTGCTGACGCTGTGATGCACCCCATCCGACTTATATGGCAGCTTCAAAAACGCACAACACGGATTAAAGCGGCAGCGACGCTTGGATTTCCTTGCTGCTTCTCTTGCATTAATGATGAGGCTCTGTGGATAGTGGTTGAGTTGAAGTTGGTCTTGAATTTTCTGTTCACTTTCTTTACACATGGTGTCATTGGAAGACAGACGTTGTGCTCTTAAGAGAGCATGTCTGAGAATACCAAAGTATGTGTGCAAGTGGATCTCTCCGATTTCGCTCAAAATTTGCAGGTAGGTTTCCTTTGGGGTGTGGATCGATTGGGCAAATCCCTTGAAAAAGTTTCTGAAGGGAACCTTGAAATTTGAATACCCCTTAGAAATGGCCGAAATATCACATTATTTATGGGTCTAGAAACGAGTCACGCCACAGCGTATACGAACAAGCTATGAACAAAACTCCATCAAGCCAACATTGCCTCACCTTAGAAGAGTTCCTGGAGCAGTACCGCTTAGCCACGCCAGCATCCCAGAATACGAGGTCCATCACCCCCTGACGCCACAAATGATCGTCTTGAAAATAGCCAATTTACAAGCGCTGGCAAAACAGCCAGCTACGTCCTCAATTGGCCAGAACTATACACCGGCAGATAGTAGAACACCTCTTCTAGCGCTGAGGACATGTCCCCCATCTTCCTTTTGGGGTTTTCTTGAAATAAACTTTTTTGAATTTTTCCACTCGACCATGCTGAAATACGGCCAAAGTCATACCTGCGCAGGAAAGCTCGCCCCTCCGCGACGTCTCCTCAGCAATTTCTACTCCAACACTACTCCCAAGGCCGCAGAACAAAGTGTAGTGTTGACTCTGACAAGGAAAAGCAGCGGTGATCACTTGTCACTCCAAACGACAAGCTTCTCCTTGCGCCACCAATAATTTTTTGTGCGACTGTTGATGCAAAAGTGACTGGAGGCCTGAGCGCAGTTTTTGAATTTTATTGCAAGATGCACGGTGAGATCGCGTGCTCTGTGACGTAGGATGACGCTTCCTGCATCACGATACGCAGCCGGCCATCGATCGCGAACGTGTCTGGAACGCTACTCGGAACAGACCATGATGGCAGAGGTGAGATGAGCTGCATTTCCTGCTTGATCTGCTGAGAACCCCCACAAACTGTCCTAGGAGTGTTGCAATGGCAGCAAGCCGTTGAAATATGCCCCGTACAGCATGGAGAGTTATTCGTCTTTCACACTTACCTCCTGCAATCCCGAACATACTTGTCCAACAGTAAAAGTCCCTAGTTTTCATGTCGATGCTCAACAAAAGCGGCTAGATCGGTCCCTTTGTGTTGACTGGCACGCGAGCAGCACTGGCTGCACGCACTTGTCGCGTGAACTGCATGAGAGATTTCTTACGTCATAAAGAATGTGATTTCATCATCATTTGCCTGGTCTTCGACCTACATGGTCAGGGAAAGTCCCGGTTCGTAGGCCTACAACACGGTCAGCGTGTTCTTGAGCGCAGTAACAACACAAGTGTGATCACTTCCAGACCAACGCCACAGCCACGGGCGTTCAAGGCGAGTAACAAGCGCACTTGACAAAGGTCAATCTGAAATTTCGTGAGCCGTGGGCCACGCGACTTGGCATTCTTGCGTCACAAGGCACGTGATTTCACCGTGCATCTTGCAATAAAATTCAAAAACTGCGCTCAGGCCTTCAGTCACTTTTGCATCAACAGTCGCACAAAAAATTATTGGTGGCGCAAGGAGAAGCTTGTCGTTTGGAGTGACAAGTGATCACCGCTGCTTTTCCTTGTCAGAGTCAACGCTACACTTTGTTCTGCGGCCTTGGGAGTAGTGTTGGAGTAGAAATTGCTGAGGAGACGTCGCGGAGGGGCGAGCTTTCCTGCGCAGGTATGACTTTGGCCGTATTTCAGCATGGTCGAGTGGAAAAATTCAAAAAAGTTTATTTCAAGAAAACCCCAAAAGGAAGATGGGGGACATGTCCTCAGCGCTAGAAGAGGTGTTCTACTATCTGCCGGTGTATAGTTCTGGCCAATTGAGGACGTAGCTGGCTGTTTTGCCAGCGCTTGTAAATTGGCTATTTTCAAGACGATCATTTGTGGCGTCAGGGGGTGATGGACCTCGTCTTCTGGGATGCTGGCGTGGCTAAGCGGTACTGCTCCAGGAAATCTTCTAAGTGAGGCAATGTTGGCTTGATGGAGTTTTGTTCATAGCTTGTTCGTATACGCTGTGGCGTGACTCGTTTCTAGACCCATAAATAATGTGATATTTCGGCCATTTTTGAGGGGTATGCAAATTTCAAGGTTCCCTTCAGAAACTTTTTCAAGGGATTTGCCCAATCGATCCACACCCCAAAGGGAACCTACCTGCAAATTTTGAGCGAAATCGGAGAGATCCACTTGCACACATACTTTGGTATTCTCAGACATGCTCTCTTAAGAATTGAGATTGTGCAACTGCAAGTTTGATGTGATGAGGCACAGCAGATGCGTAGTCTATCAGCAATCCACTATTGCATGGCTTTTGCAAGAGCTTGTCCGTCATCTGGCCCGACTGTTGTATGGCAATTGTCATGTCCATGTATCAATCCAGCCTTTGCTACTGCTGAGCTCGTAGGTGAACTTGAGTCGGTCGTGTCCTGCATTGAAGTGCTGTATTAGCTCCAAGAGGCGTTTCTCACCGTGGGTCCAGAGAATGATCGCATCATCAATGTACCGTGTGTACAGTACAGGCAGAACCGGTGAATCGGCAAGAAGGCGCGTTTCCAGAGAGTGCATGAACAATATTGCGAATGGTGGTGCTAGATTATTGCCCATTGCGACTCCCTCTAGCTGGTGGAAAATTTGTGGCCCGAATCTGAATAAATTGTTAGTGAGAACAAATTGAAGCAAGTCCTTGACTTCGCACACGTTAAGGCCGAACATGTTCATTCTTTTGACATGCTGTTCCAATATTCCTCCCACTGCGTTGACTCCCTCTTCAATCGGAATGCTCGGGTACAGGCCCACGACATCCAAAGTGGCAAGAATTGTCTCCTCTGGAGCTTGGAGATATGGGAATATAGTGCAGATGTCATCAAGGGCTTCATTCGTATTAGGGAGGTGCGCTGGGGCAAAGTCTAGCAACTGGTGTAGAATGCGTTCCAGTATGATTGATATGCCCGTGACAGGACTATCACATGCCGACACGACGGGTCGTAGGGGTAGGTTCTGCTTATGATCCTTTGGGAGACCACAGAACTCGGGGAATCTTGTATTATTGGGGAGAATCGACTTCAGCAGCTTGGAATCCATGTTCTTGCAATTGTCCCCAAGGACAGCTTTCACCCGAAATACGAACACGGTTCTTGTTATGTCAACCTTTTCGTACATAACGCTATCCGATAGCAATGCATCTGCCTTCTCCAGGTAGAGTTTTTGTTTCAGTGCGACCAACTTCTTACTTTTGTATATGGTGGTAAAGACACACCTGGCAATATGGCGGTAAACACACGCCTGCCCACACACGCTCTCTAGGCTGCAAAGTTCTGGCACAGAGCTCTCCTTCTCACCACCACCACCATCAGTTCGCGCCTGGCGCCTGGTCCATGCATGGTTGGCGGTATCCGGCATAGCAGGCTGGTACATCAAGTAGTGCATGGCACATAGCAGATGACACAGCAACGACATAGCTCGATTGCGACGTACGTTTCGTCCCCGCTGGACTCATCAGGCAATCTTCTTCTTGGATGTCTTCACACGGAGCTTGACTCGGGAGAATGAATTTGAAGACACCACTGCAGCTGTACTTATGGTTGATAAATATGGTGGTAAAGACACACCTGGCAATATGGCGGTAAACACACGCCTGCCCACACACGCTCTCTAGGCTGCAAAGTTCTGGCACAGAGCTCTCCTTCTCACCACCACCACCATCAGTTCGCGCCTGGCGCCTGGTCCATGCATGGTTGGCGGTATCCGGCATAGCAGGCTGGTACATCAAGTAGTGCATGGCACATAGCAGATGACACAGCAACGACATAGCTCGATTGCGACGTACGTTTCGTCCCCGCTGGACTCATCAGGCAATCTTCTTCTTGGATGTCTTCACACGGAGCTTGACTCGGGAGAATGAATTTGAAGACACCACTGCAGCTGTACTTATGGTTGATAAATATGGTGGTAAAGACACACCTGGCAATATGGCGGTAAACACACGCCTGCCCACACACGCTCTCTAGGCTGCAAAGTTCTGGCACAGAGCTCTCCTTCTCACCACCACCACCATCAGTTCGCGCCTGGCGCCTGGTCCATGCATGGTTGGCGGTATCCGGCATAGCAGGCTGGTACATCAAGTAGTGCATGGCACATAGCAGATGACACAGCAACGACATAGCTCGATTGCGACGTACGTTTCGTCCCCGCTGGACTCATCAGGCATCTTCTTCTTGGATGTCTTCACACGGAGCTTGACTCGGGAGAATGAATTTGACTACACATGTTACCTCAGTACTAGGAATTATGACCTGGGAAAATACTGACATGGTCACATTCGTCTAATGCTTGCGAGAAACCTGTTCAGACATTTCTCAAGTTATCTGGTGACATCTGCGCTGTGCTAACTTTTTACCAACACCCAGCATATGAGTCAGTGAAAACTTGTGATCTTTCACTAGTTTTAGACATGTCATATTCCTAGCACTGAGGTAAGAGGTGTAGTCATAGAAGTATTATCAACACATAAGAACACCAAATTAGTGTATATAACTGCATCCTGATGATGGCAATTTGCCGAAACGTTGAAAAAGATTTTTTGATATGAAATGTGTTGTGAATTTGCAGTGGCCAGGGAATGAGCATGTGTGCTCACCAATTCTCTTCGAGTTATGAAGCTACAGGATGCCTCACCGTTACTTCGTTCAACAGCCTAGACAACACTATTGAGTTCCTTGCGTCACCTCAGAAGTACTTATAAGTGCAATGTCTCAATGAGATTTGGTGTATGTGTTTCATGTGAAATTGCACTGAACACCATTGTGGTTCTGTAAAGCAACCGGCTACTAGATTGGAGATCTTTGGTATGTTATACACCTGCAAAATGTTTCACTTTCCAGTGGCGGGTAAGATAGTTGGACAGCACAATCAGTCATGTCTTTGTGCGTAACCCGTACAGTAATGGTGGTTTGTGTAAATCTGCACGATGAAGTCCCAGCCAAACTTGGTTGGTTCACTTTTAAGTGGCGTACTTTCTTGTCCTGAACAAAAACAATCTACCAACCCACATGGGGAGAAAACTGGTTAATGGCATTGATGCGATGTTTTTTTGTTCATTGAAAGCATATGTTCTGAGATTATGAACTGGCTCTCAGTGGCAGCAGAGGGTTGGGCGTATTTTCGAGGCTATTTGTAAATTCTTACCCTATACCTCACACCCTCAAACTTATCCCAGACAATAACGACCTTTTTGGGAGACAGTATGCTGCTTTGAGTAATGGCGACCTACGTCATCGTGTGCACGCACAAGAGTACCGGAAAATGGAATACTGTCACGAACACAGTGCGAATTAATAATACAAAGCTCAAGAAGAATTGACACGTAGTGATCAACCGCAAATATGTGTGTTATCAAGAAAGGAATAGTGTTACGGAGGTAGCCTCAATTGAAGTATTATTCGTTCTCGTTCTGCTTCTTTGAATGTTGCTGAACAGTTTTCCTCTCCATGCTCTGCTAAATCGTTGCCTGTACGCGCCACGTCTAGCGCCTTGTTTCTACGCTAGCACTTAGCACCTTATTCGTCATCACGCGCTCTTCTTATCTACATGCATGTGCTAAGTGTTGGTGTAGAGGCAGGGTGTTGGATGTGGCCGTCGCTCTTGCTATATAAGTTCATCGGAGCGTAGGCACAGTTGTTGTTTTCCAGAGTTCTGCTTGTGATGGTATTCTTCTGAATGGTCATCGAAGTAAATCTGAGTATGGTTCAAGACAGTTAGTTGCCTTTCGAGAATATCTCTGGGTTTATGAGCCACATTATTTGGTAGCAGAGGATGGTTTGAATGTTAACCATGGCGGAAACAAAGAGTTCTTTGTCAGTGGCAAGTGACGAGAGTCTGCAAGGAACGGACCAAGTCGGGGCGGACGTAGGTTTGGCGGACGAATAGCAGGTCCCCCGTAGTGGCGGTTCAAGCAGCATTCAGCAGTCAGAGGGCACGGTGAAGGATTTTGGAGTTTCCGATATTGATGACGAAGAACAAGAATATGATGATGAAGAACCGGCGTTCAGCGAAGAATGCCTGAGAACGATGAAGATCAATGCCAAGGCCAATTTCACCAACATTCGAAGACGTTTGCTGACTCGGATAGTGAACGGAGAGGGGATTGGTGATGACGACCTTGGATATCTGGAACACGCGTACTCTGGTGCAGCAGGCGTCGTGGGCGATCTCCTGGGACTGTGCTCTGGAGACGGAGACTTGTCGAAACGGAGGAAGCTGGTTGCGGAGCTGGAAGAGCTTGAGGAGAAGTACAGCGCAGCTGCGAACAGAGCACTGGAAGAAGCCACGTACAGCGCTAGTGTTGGTGGGCGGTTTGGAGCTGGTCATGGTTTGGGATACAGCCAGTACTCGACGGCGAGGTACTCAGCTCCAATGATGACGCCAGATCACTTGACGGAGGTGGGTGCGGAGCGGTCTGACTTTGGCCAGTTGGGGGCCAGGTCAATGCTGTACTCTGGGTCTGCTGGATCTGGGCTGGTGGAATCTGGCATGAAGACTTCTCCTAGTAGCCTAAGTGCCTTGGCCTTTCATGAGAGTCAAGGTGTCACAAGTCCACTCCGGGTTCCAACACCATCTACTGCCAGTACCTCTAGTGCTGATCAGACCAGCAATGGCAGTGCATCAGCGCCAGTGACCGGTTCCGGTGGTAGCAGTGTGTCAGTGGCCAGTGCTAATGATGGTACTGCCAGTAGTACTATGCCAGGCGCAGTCAGTCAGCCCACCAAGAGGAGCAGCGTCAGCAACACCACACTGGGAACGGCCCAGCTGACCAAGAAGTCTGTTCAGTTTAGTCAGAGCCACCAGTCCACTGCCAGCACTCAGTCCAGATTGAGACCAGCAGTGAGTGTGTTATTACCCCCTAGAATGGTCCCTGCAGCTGGAGGTGCAGCTGGAAGTGCATCAACGGTCGTCCCCGCTGTGACAGTCCCCAACACATCCATGGCTCCCCAACCGACTGGGTCCTCGAGCAGCCATATGTATCAGCCTCCACTGACGTGTGAACGACCACTAGCAGCCGACATCGGGCCATGGGCGAGTATGAAGAAAATCACAATACCCACATTCGATGGCGATAAACGGCGCTTCGAGTCCTGGTGGGCAGCGTTTTCCACCTGTGTGGACAAGGCACCGCTAACCGCGGAATGCAAGATGCTTCGACTATGACAGTATGTCCAGGGTGAGCCGTTGAAAGCCATCGACCGATTCGGGTACACCATCGCTGCGTATGATGCAGCCAAGGCCCTATTGCACCGAAAATATGGCGGAGAGAGGCGCCGAGTTGCCATCCATCTGGAAGAAATTGAGGCCCTCAAACCCGTGCGGAAGGAGCACCCGAGAGACCTGGAGCGGTTCTCGGAACTGCTGGCAGTCGCTGTCATTAACTTTAAGGACTCGGGCCGAGCTACTGAGCTGGCGGCCGGAACCTTCTACCTGACTCTTCTCAAGAAGCTGGATGAGCAGCTGATCACCCGCTACCACCGGTGGCGGCATGAACAAGCTAAGGCTGAGTCGGTAGAGGAGCTGCTTGAGTACTGTACCCAGGAAGCAGAGTTCATGGTCTCCGCTGCGGAGACGAAAGCTGGCTTGATTCCCGTGAGTAAGGCAGAGCCGTCACAGCCAACAAAGGTCCACCGGTCGCCTCGACCAAGCACGTTCGTGACCAGCAGCCAGCCGGCAGCCAAATCACAAAAGTGCATCGTGTGCCAAGGTGAACACAAGCTGTGGCAGTGCCTATCCTTCAAAGCTGCGACAGTGAACAAGCGATGGCGCATTGCCAAGGATTCAGGTGTGTGTTTCCGCTGCCTGGATGTCGGCCACAATGGATGCGACTGCACGCGGAGTCGGCCATGTGGTTTGGACGGGTGCACGAAGCTCCATCATCGCTTTCTGCACGCCACACAGAGCAGAGGCCCTGTGTTTAGCAGCGTGACACGTCCGTCCACACAGGCACCAGCAGCGAACTCTGTCTCAGGGCGTCGGGCAGGACGCGCTATGCCAAACACAGCTAGCACCCAACAGTCGTCCAGCCAAACAGAGCAGCAGACATTCTGCTCCGTCGTCACGGAGGGTTCTCCGTCCACGGAAGAGGAGTGCTACGCCTCCCAGAGCACCCACGTGACCATCAGCCTGAGGACGATACCGGTCACCATCAAGCACGGCGACACAAGCATTCACGTCAATGCACTGTTGGACGATGGCAGCACCATGAGCTACATCAGTGAGGGCGTAGCACACGAACTTGGTCTGCACGGGGAGTTGCAGAGCATCACGGTCAACACGTTGGACGGAACACCGAGTACATTTCAGTCGGTGCATGTGTCTTGCAGCGTAGCAAGTGTCAACGGCATGTTCAGCACAGACCTCCATGCTTGGACAGTGCGGCACCCAACAGGACGCCTGAAGCCAGTCAACTGGCACCGCGGCGCATCGACATGGCCACATCTCAAAGGGATACGTTTCCCTCCCACCGCCAAGCCTGATCGAGTCGACGTTCTGCTCGGCCTGGACTGTGTCGCAGCGCACCAGTCCTTGCACGAGGTGACTGGTAAGCCGGGTGAACCAGTCGCACGGCTCACCCCGCTAGGATGGACCTGTGTGGGGCCGGTACGGGCGAGCCCAGGCAGTTCGCGTATGGGGCATGCGTACCATGCGCAGCTGCAGCTCGGCGGCAATGAGATCAGTCAGCTACTGCGTCGCTTCTGGGACGTCGAGGAGCTAGCCGTACCCGACTTGCCACACTTGTCACCGGCGGAGGAGAAACTGCTCACAAAGACACGGGAATCCCTGGCGTTCAGCGACGGTCGATATCATGTGGGCCTTCCTTGGAAGACAACACCACCGGTCCTGCCCGACAACTTCGCCATGGCACGCAAACGACTGATTGGCACCGAGCGGAAGCTGCTCCTAACGGACGGTCTGGGTACCAAGTACAGCGCCATCATCCAAGAGTACTTGGCAAAGGGCTATATCCGCCGTGTGCCGAAGGAGGAACCACGACCACACAGCATCTGGTACCTGCCTCACTTTCCGGTGGTCCGTCTGGACAAGCAGACAACGAAAGTGAGGATTGTGTTTGATGGGTCGGCGCAGTTCCAAGGCGTCGGAGTGAACGACTTCCTCAACAAGGGGCCGAAGCTGCAACGGGACATCTGCGACGTGCTCCTGCGGTTCCGCAAGCATCCTGTTGCTATTGCCTGTGACATCAAGCAGATGTACCTGCAGATTGGTGTGCACAAATCCGACCGGCCATACCAACGATTCCTATGGCGCAACTGTGATTCCGATGCGCAGCCTGCAGTGTATGAGTTCCAGCGTGTGGTATTCGGACTCGCCTCATCACCATTCCTCGCTCAGTTCGTCTCCCAGGAGCATGCGAGGGTGCTCACCAGTACGGATGAACGTGCGGCTGAAGCAGTCAACAAGTCCACATACATGGACGACACGCTTGATTCCGTGCCAACCGTCGCTGATGGCATCGCACTCTACAAGTCTCTTGTGAAGGTGTGGGAGTCGGCCGGCATGCACCCGACGAAGTGGCTCTCAAACTCGACCGAGCTTCTGGCAGTGATACCTGAGTCAGAACATGGACGCTCCATCGACCTGTCACCAGGGGAGCTGCCAAGAGTGAAGACGCTAGGCATCTCGTGGTCCGCTGCTAGCGACGCTTTCAGTTTTGCCATCCCACCGGATTCCGGCCAGGAGTTCAGCAAGCGGAGAGTGCTACAACGGGTAGCATCCGTCTTTGACCCGCTGGGTCTGCTGGCGCCGTACATCATTCGAGGCAAGATGCTCATCCAGGAACTGTGGCTGCGAGGCTCGACCTGGGACGACCCACTGGAGCCCTCTGTGGACAAGCTGGTGAAGGAGTGGATTGCTGATGCGCGGGATCTGCAGACGCTACGCATTCCAAGACCACTCATGGCAGCTGACGGTGTGTCGTCGCTGCACGTATTCGCAGATGCCTCCGAGAAGGCAATGGGTGCTGTCGCCTACATCATTTCCAAGGACCCCAGTGGAGCTACATGCCGGCTGGTTGCAGCTAAGTCTAAAGTCGCCCCGCTGGAAGCGGTGAGCATCCCACGACTAGAGTTGATAGCCGCCGTCATGGCAGCCCGTTTGGCAGCCGTCGTCAGCCTTGCTCTCGAGATGCAGGATATCTATCTGTGGTCTGACAGCATGAACGTCCTCTGGTGGATCCATGGTCACAGTCGGCAGTTCAAGACATTCGTGGCCAATCGCGTCTCTGAGATTCGTCGTCTCACACAGCCAGAGCAATGGCGGCATGTGACCACTGACCAGAACCCCGCAGATCTGGTCTCTCGTGGGTGTACTGCAGCAGTGCTGACATCATCGGACCTATGGTGGACTGGGCCCGCATTCCTGTCAACCGACGAGCCATGGCCTGCCAGCCCTACGCTTCAGCCCAGCTCCGGCGCTCGGCAGGAGGTAAAAGGTTTGCCACGCAACCGCTCGCAGGACATGCAAACGTATCATGCAGACGTCCAAAGTGCCAACGATGCACCACCCGAGCAGGATTGGATCATTGACCCAGCAAAGTGGCTAGACTGGCAGAAGACCATCCGTACGCTCACATGGGTCCGGCGGTTCATCTCGAACTGCCGTGCAGCAGCAGAGGATCGCCTGGCAGGAGAGCTCACCCCGATTGAGTTGGCTGACGCAGAGCTGTACGTCGTTTGGAACACGCAGCGTGATGCGTTCGCTGCTAAGATAGTCCTCCTGAGGAAACGCAAAGCAGTGCATGCTACCAGTAAGCTGGCCAAGCTGTGTCCATTTCTTGACGACGATGGTGTTCTACGCTGTGAAGGGCGCTTGCAGTATGCGGAGTTCCTGCCACGAGACGCTGTCCATCCGATCATCCTGCCGCGGAAGCATGCCGTGACCAAGATGCTAATCAGGTTCCAACACGAGAAGGGAAAGCACGCTGCGGGGACGAACGCAACATTGTCTGCGCTCGCCGCCCGCTATTGGGTCATCGCCGCACGGGAGGCCGTCCACGAGTGGGAACAGGAATGCGCAGTCTGTCGCCGGTACCGGAGCAAGCCAGCTGGGCAACGAATGGCACCGCTGCCGGTCAGTCGGATCGTGCCCTCTCATCGTGCGTTCAGCCGCGTGGGCGTCGACTACGCCGGCCCCTTCCTCACCATGCAGGGACGCGGTCGGGCCAGAACCAAACGCTATCTGTGTGTATTCACGTGTCTGGAGACGCGCGCTGTATATCTGGAGCTCGCATTCTCACTCGACACATCTAGTTTCATCAACTGTTTCTTCCGGTTCGTGAGCCGGCGCGGCCTTCCCAATCAAGTCATATCGGACAATGGCACAAACTTTGTTGGTGCAGTTCGGGAGCTGAAGGACCTCATTCGCAACATCGACCAAACCAAAATCCAGACGGGCACCGCACATCATGGTGTGTCCTGGTCGTTCAACCCTCCAGCAGCACCTCATTTCGGTGGTGTGTTCGAGATTATGGTGAAGGCAGCCAAACGTGCTATTTACCACATTCTGTCTGGCAGTGACATCACCGACGAGGATCTGCTGACCGCCTTTGCCGGAGCAGAGGATCTGATCAACTCTCGCCCGATCACTGCCATATCAGTCAACCCCAACGACAATTTGCCCCTCACCCCGAATCATTTTCTGAACGGGAGACTTGGAGAAGTCGTCCTACCGGAGTCTGATCATCCGCGTCAGCGATGGCAACGCATTCAGGAGCTGCTTGGGCATGTCTGGCGTCGCTGGATCCAGGAGTGGCTGCCTCAGCTCAGCAAGCGGGTCAAATGGACGGCAGACCAACGCAACGTGAAGGTTGGTGATGTCATGCTGTTGCTGTCTCCAGACACCGCTAGGCGTAAATGGCCCTTGGCTCGGGTTCTGGAAGTCTACCCCGGGAAGGATGAACGAGTACGTGTTGCCAAGGTGCAGGTGGGTGATCGTACTCTTGTGCGACCCATCAACCGCTTGTGCCCACTGGAGTATGCGCCAGAGTGATGGACTGATGTGGACAGCTTTTCTGCTGTCTGTCTTCTAAAAATCATTGCATGTCCTCTATCTTCTTATTATTATTAGTCAGCGGTATTGCTATATCTTTACCCTGCTGCGGACCTGCTGTCTAGCCACCTGGACTTGCTTTGCTAAGTACACGATGTTGGGTTCTTAGTGGTGGAGCTAGTAAGGTACTATTTATTTTGTTTTATTTCGATCTGGTCACGTTGTCTCATATCGAGGAAGAGGAGAATGTTACGGAGGTAGCCTCAATTGAAGTATTATTCGTTCTCGTTCTGCTTCTTTGAATGTTGCTGAACAGTTTTCCTCTCCATGCTCTGCTAAATCGTTGCCTGTACGCGCCACGTCTAGCGCCTTGTTTCTACGCTAGCACTTAGCACCTTATTCGTCATCACGCGCTCTTCTTATCTACATGCATGTGCTAAGTGTTGGTGTAGAGGCAGGGTGTTGGATGTGGCCGTCGCTCTTGCTATATAAGTTCATCGGAGCGTAGGCACAGTTGTTGTTTTCCAGAGTTCTGCTTGTGATGGTATTCTTCTGAATGGTCATCGAAGTAAATCTGAGTATGGTTCAAGACAGTTAGTTGCCTTTCGAGAATATCTCTGGGTTTATGAGCCACAAATAGAGAGAGGGAAAGAGAGAGAGAGAGAGAGAGAGCGCGCGCGAGAGAGAGAGAGAGAGAGAGAGAGATGAGATGGCATTGACAGTTACTTGGCCAACCTATTACACCTCTCCCTCTAGACGCCACTAATCAGGAACAATATCGCACTGGGCATCGACGGATAGCTGGGGCATGGAGATTATGGGGTGGGACCAAGTCAATTTCTCCGCCATCAAATTCCAGGGTGACGGCTTCACTATCACTAGCGTCACTATCACTGTCACTCTTGGCAGGGTTCGGCTAAGCGCTGTGGACATCAGTAGTAATGTAAGGCAATTCAAGGCACCCCTCCCTTTACATCCTCAGTGTTCGGTAATACAGGAGCTCAGTCTAGCTTCAGCAGTCAATGTTGACCACTGTCTCTGCGTCATTGACATGGCTGATCGCAACGGTTGATGGTGACACACTCTTCTCCACTTTCCAGCCAGGCTAAAATGGCGGGAGCAGCTTCTGGTGACACTCGGGGCGTAGGAACAGTAGTGCATCACCGAGAATGTAGGCTGACTGTTTGCTGCTGCGTGGTTGTGGAGAGCTCGATGCAGACAACTCTCTCTCCACAACATCGCGCACATGGGCAGCCGATCCATGCAGCTTGTTAACCCACTCGCTCACCACAGGGGCGGACAGGCACGCTTCCAGAACTAATGAACGGGGCTTCCAGGCTCACATCGCGCGCAATTATGGATATGCATGATGTATATTGGTCATGCATTTATCACCGTTGTTTTTAGCTATTCTACTTTGACCCGGTTTTATCACCTCATCGCTGTACATAATTCATTGTATTTGCTCTTGTTTGCTCTAGCTTGTATATCACCTGAGGAAAAGGTACAGAAGTTTACTCGCATAACCATTAGATTATTATGAATGTTATTGAAGCGCCTAAGTTTTGTCCTATCAACATCATGAGCAGTTGTCCTTTGCTTCATCAGCCTGGAAAACATTTTAAAATGAGTTACTTGCGTCACATCAGACGTGCTCGTAAGTCCAATGTTTTGAAGAGATCTGGTATATGGTTCCACGTTGGCACTTCGAGAATCGCAGCATCTCGGCTTCATCTGGAAAACCTCTTGAGTGGTGGACTCCAGGTGCCATTGTGTGATCTACAAGAATCCCCCGGTCGTGGAGAATGGCATGGTCGTGTGAATGCGCCCTGCACAAACCACTCTGGTTCAACTCATCCAATGGGGTGGCCATCGCCTAATCGGTGAGGGAACCTACTTTGGCCACCTGTACAATATGCATTGTCAAGATGTACATCACCTTCTACAGAGGATGTTGCCACCCCAGCAGCCCCAACACCAGCTGGCGAGTGGATGCAGTTTTTGACGTTCCGGAATCATTCAATCCTGTGTGTATGTATACCTGTTAGATGTGTCTCGAGTATGTTCTATACAGCCGAGTGGCAGCCTTCCCAGGACCATGCCTTTTTTGATTAGGCTGTTGCTTTCCTCTGGTGTCAAACCAGATGAAATAAACACAAATTGACCTGAGCCCAAGGCACCTCATCACTCACCTGACAATGACAAAGATGGATTCACCATGGCATCAGGGAAGAATGCATTCCCAGCAACTCCCCGGGCTGCCAACCTCGCCAACGTTTTCTCCACTGCAGCTGAACGTGACGAAGTTTCAGGTGCTGAAGATACGGATAACAGTGGCGCACAGGTCACAATCAACGGAATAACATTTGAGTGCTAACTTGACAACAGCACCATCTTCCGACAACCTCTGCTCCTCATACCCTAGTTCCTCTAAATCCGAACGCTAAAGCATTCCAACCCACTGTTACAAGAACAGTGCTTGCAACATCGGAGCAAAATATGACCAATGCATTCCTCAACAATTTTGTAGTCTACGCTACAAAATGCATGAACTGTCGGACCTGGTGCATTCGATGGACTGGAACATTGTCGGTGTGGCCGAGACTTGGTTCACCAACACAGTAGCTAACAATGAGATCGATATATCTGGATAAAGCCTTGCCATGCTTGATTGAGCCGGCCATCCCGGTGGAGGTGTGTGCCTGTATTACAGGGCTACTCTTCCTGTCACCATACAGCCAGATCTGAAGATCTGAAGGTGGACGGTACTGAAGGCGTGTGGGTCAGTCTGCCCCACTCCAGACAGAGGCACCTTTTTGCGTATATCCCCCCCCCCCCCCCTGCTGAATCAATTCATTACCAGGACAGATTTGAGCAGGCTCTTCACCGGGGTTCAGTAGTATCACCAGCTGTCAACCTGTTCGGTGACTTCAACATTAATGTTAGCTCAGCTGCAACACCCCAGCTCCACCATTTCAATGTTGGAATTCACTCTCTCGGTTGGATAAATCTAGACTCTTTCCCAGCCCGAATACTAGTAACCCCAAGATGTCCAGCCAGCACGACACTGGACCTGATCCTCACCAGTAGCCCTGCTACAGTCTCCTGCAATGTCATAACCTGTACTCTGAGTGATCACTCGGCCGTACATGCTAGACTGGACCTCGCGCTACTGTCTGCTAAGCATCAACACTCCTCTCATCGCCAGGGAGCAAGTTTAATGGGGTACTAGCTGTGCTAGTACTTGTTAGCAACAATCCGAACTAGCGCACACACTGCACTGCATTGCTCTGTACTGCATTCAGGACTGACGTCATGCGCTTTGTTTTGCTGCGTAATCACAAATGGCACCAGCCCATTTTGCTCAAAAGAAAAACAAATCTTGCTTGCCCTGTTGTGCTCTTCCAGACAACGGATCGTTCTTCAGCAGTGTTTCTTTTTGGTGCTCTTCCAGACAACGGATCGTGCTTCAGCAGTGTATATTTTCCGTTCGTAGCTTTGCTGCCAGCCTGAGTGTCACCTCGACATTCTATTTCTTCAGTATGTCTGACGTAACTGTCGACACTGTCAAGGCAATGCATTGCCAAGCCCTCCGCGGCCAGCTTTCTCAGCGCAGCTTGAATCCGAAAGGAAACTGAGTAAAAGTATGTTACAGGACCGTTTGCTGCCACAACCAGCCCTTGGTAGTGAGGTATGCTCCGGCCAGGAGAACCAGCAACATGACAGTGCGGACACGGCTCGCGAGCCCAGAAGCCCGACTGGCACCAATGCCTCCTCCGCCAGCTCAGGTCATGCGGGCTCGACGGATCTCTGCGCTCTCGTACGGGACGAGGTGTAGTCGGCTTTGTCGGCCGCCAACACTTCCGGCTCAACGTTCTGGCTGGTGCGCAGCCCGAATAACGATGGCAAGCTAAATATCGTTGAGTCGGATGACGCAAAGCAGGTGCGTCGCAAGGTTCACGATATTGCCACCCGGCTCGAGGCATGGACCGCATACATGTCTGTTATCACGGCTGCTGCCCCACACCGCACTGCTGATCTACTGAACTGATTGCGTACCAGCAGTTGATCCTGACTACTAACCGCCAGTTCTTCTCAAGCGCGTGGCTAGAGTGCGACCGCCAGCTGCGGATGCTCGTGGCCCAGTAACCAGGCATGAAGAGGTTGAACACCGTCGACGTGAACCTATGGCTGATAGCTTTCACAGGCCATGCACACCTAAAACGTGCTCAATGTAAGACGCTGCTTTTCGTCCCCAATCTCAATTCCCCAAGCCAGCAGCATGTACCTCAAGTGGTCGCACCCATACCAGCGACGGCCACGAAATCTGCCGCAACGTCAACAGAGGTCGGTGTTCTTCATCGTCGTTTGGCTTCTCCCACACCTGCAGCCAGTGTGGCAAGGACCACCCATGCATCAGGTACAACCAGCAGCAGCGCAGAGCCAATCGACCACCCCGCCGCTCCTAGCAGAATGGCTACTGAATCGCTTGATTCGGTACGTAACTTCTTCCCTATACACTCTGCAGACACCACACTGCTAGCTGACCACTTTGCCCGCCTGTTACGTAACCACCCAGATCAATCATGTGTTGCGTATGTTCTCCATGCCCTGCGTCATGGTTTTGCTCTTGTATCTGCCGGCAAACACGACATTTTGGTTTTCTCTAATAATCTGCCCTCGGCTTTCACTCATCCGGCATTTATTTCCGAGCAATTGACTGCTTCCTGCGCCTGCAGCAAGACCACAGGCCCCTTTTCGTCACCTCCATTTCAGGTCATGCTCTGGAATTGGTGCCGTCCCCAAAAAGAACGGCAAGCTGTGAATGGTCCACCATCTGTCCAGTCCGGAAGGCATCAGCGTGAACGACAGCATTTCTGCCGAGCCGCTCTCTCTGCTCTGTGTGAGCATTGAAAGCGCGATCAACATCATTATGTCATGCCCACAGCCGGTTTATTTGTCCAAGCTCGATGTACGCAGTGCATTTCGGCAGATCACAG